AGTTTGAGATTTACTAGAAATGCTCACTTGAGGCTCTGAAATACTCCCTGCTTAGATACATAATATCAAATGAAGGATTTTTTAGGTTTTCTGGATAAAGTAATATTATCTAATCTGTTGAAATATAGGTTGGTTACATATAAAGTTCATTTTTAATTTACAAGGAATTTTTTGACTGGAATTAGTGAATTGTAAAACTTTGGTACTGATGTTAGTATTAAAATATGGCATCGATCTTATTATTTGTCTTATGATTATCATATCAGGTATCAGAGAGAAGTAGATGATGACTAAAAATGCAACCTCCTGCAACTGATTTTACACCCTATCATCCGACGTCTCTACTCTTTAATTAAAAGTATTGGGTGATTCTGCATCTATGATGTTTGAATTAAATGACATGGCTCAAATGGATTCACAGACTGATGCCATATCTTCATCTGCCTACTTTCAACGTTTTCCAGACTACCTTTATGACAACCGGCATTGAATGTTGTAGTGAGTGGTAATTAGGAACGCGCAAAACGTGTCCGAACCACCTCAATCTGAGAAAATTTTAATTCTACTAGTCATTCTGTTTGTTTTACTCAGTACCCTACTTCTAACCTTAAAATTATTTACACGTTATTTTCAACTGATTATTTGATCAATAATTTACATCATTCCTAAAACATTAGATACGAAAGCACTTGAGATGTGTTCAAATCAACATAACATGAAGTTACTGATCTTTGTCTAAATTTTCACGGAGAAGGAATATGATAGTAGTTCCAGTTATGCTAGGAATGTTTTTCTATCTACGTTTGAAGACACGTTAAAAATACATTTTTTATCTATGATACAGTAATGAAATTCCTACGATTTACTAAAAACATAATCAATATGTGTTTGTGGAGATTGTCGAAAGTTTGGTTGAGATCATGAACCGGTCAGTGTTACACCAACATTGAAAACCTGGAACTACTGGATGGCCATTTCGTCCTAGTATGGAACTCCTTACCAGTGCGCACCCACGATCTGGCACGCCGGATTTGAACCCAGGACTTTCAGTATCGCACAATTTCGTGGACTGGTTGAAGTTAGGCATGAACACCGTTGGATGTCGGCTTAGTAGTATTAAAGTTAAACATCCGCGCGCAGGGCCAACGTATCTAGGGTTCGAATACCACGTGCCGGATGGAGATGGCGCACAGGTGAAGAGTACTATACTAGGACGAGATGGCCGCCCAGTGCCTCCAAGTTTTCAATGGTGGTGTAGCATTGATCGATCCATGATCTCAGTTTAAAAAAATTATATTCGTTATATATATAATGTAAACGATTAAAGTGTTTATGTACAATAAAAAGATAACTGACTCAAACCTTAAATGGTTTAAGCAGCAGAAATTTTGTTACTTATAAAGGTTATGTATGTTATAGAACAATATGTCGACTAGAATACAAAACAATTACGAATGTTGTAATGCATTTAGAATAAAGTGAATTAACTTATTCTAAATTTATGTATTGTTAGAGATTAGAGCAGTAAAAAATAATATGTATCTTAGGAGAATTATTTTGATGGAGTTCAGTTTAATGTCAATATTAAGAAGTTTCACAGAAAGATAATGAAAGCTTTACAATGAAATCATCTAATTCAGACGATGCAACTCCTCCAAAAAGACACAACAAATGCGAATATATTTTGCTGTCTTCTCTTAGTTTCCAGAAATGTCCACAGATCGTAGGTAAAACAATTCAAGCACAAATTTAATAACTACAGACTTTGATTCTTCAGTTAATTATTAGTCGTTTGGACTCTCCAATTGTTGATATCTTAGGTGAATTTTTATCAGTTTTAGCCGGTTTATGTTCATCCTGTGTGGATTGCCTCGATATATCTATTACATCACGAGACTATATAAAACAGACAGAATATGGCTAGCAGTAGAATCCACTTCGTCCTATTTGGTTTGAGTTACGCAGTGAGTATTAGCTCTTGAATGCAGGTAGATCCGATTGACGAAGACAAAATGTACATCTTGGATTCTTTTACGAGCTACATTATGTCTGTTGTATGTTTTTTTTCTCCAACTTTCAATGTCATACTATTTTGTAACTGCTTAGTTCTTCTATACTTACTTTCATTTCAAGCTTCCTCTCTCACCACTAATATACCCTGTTCTTTTTTCTGTTAAAAAGTGAAATTACTTGAATAGGTACATGTTTTTCAGCAATGTAGTGTATTGTTCTCTCGAAATTACATTAAACATAGACTGGACAATTTTCACTAGTAAGATTTATTCCGATCAAATGTAAGACTGACAATTTTAGAGGAGATACTTTTAAATGAAGTCAATTTACTAAAGAATAAAACTTTTTTTTTTCAATGTCAATAATGTGGTCACATATTATTAATTGAGCATTTCAAGGTCTTGTTCGTTATTTGAATCACACCGAATTTCAACATATATCCAAGTAACATCAAATTATATAATACAAATTACATTTATATTCATAAGACAGTTAATTCACTTAGTGTTGTTTTACTTGTATCTTTGCATTGTTATTTAAGACTGCAATTGATCAGTTTTATGTTGGCATAAATGCATCCTGTCCGGATTGCCTCGATGATATAGCCTTAAGTCACAAGCTTATTCAGGAAAGATGGATAATAGCTAGTGAGTTTAAACTTCACCTCATTGCACAAGTAGATCACTATCAGGATTCAGTAGCTAAATGGATAACATGATGGCGTTTGAAGTGAACGGTAGTGGGTTCGAGTCCCCGAGTTAACATCAACTATGCAATACAAATACATCCAGCTGACGAGTACCGAATAGGACGAAACGCGCGTCAAACTGGATTCCACTGTTAGCCATCATCCATTTTTGTTTTATAAGACAATTAGTTTGTTCATCCAACTTCTTCTTTGTCTAGTTTAATAGTATTTTAGCTATTATTCTATACAAGTTATTGTTATTCATAAAACTATCTATATTTCATGTTTTTATTAAATTTTAATCATTCTATTTTTCAAGACAATATTGTTGAATTCTATATAATGAAACAGATGTTTAGCATAGTAATTATCCAAAATTCAGAGAATAATTAGATATGACATAAATTAAATGATGTTTTTTTCTTTAATTAATCTCTATGCCTTAAAATTGTATCAATTATATACACTTTGCTTAATCATAACTAAACAACAATTATCTAGATATATCTATTGTAAATTCTGATAATAATCATCTGCTCACTAGTGACTGACTTCAAGAGATACTCCTGGAGTTCTAGTGGGAAACCGTCACCAGTGGAGTACAACCAGGTCTGTTGTGAGATATCAGCTCACTGAAGACAATGGTATATGGTGGCGCAACTTCGTGGATTGGTTAAAGTTAGACATTAACACCGTTGGATGCCGGCTCAGTGGTCTAATGGTTAATTGTGTAATAGTTACATTTTGAAAAAAGAAAAATTCCGAAGATTTTCCACTTTTTTTTCTGTTTGTTTAAATCATATCTAATAACACAAATAATGATTCATTGGTTCCTTTTCTAATCTATAATGAGTATGAATTCATGAAACATTGATTAGTCAATATGATTAAGCGATTAAATTCAGTGACTATATCACATACTTCATCTTTGACTGTATTTATAAATCAATAATGATGTATATCAATAGGGGATTTTGTGGATATTATGGTCATTTCAATAGTTTAGATCATGAATCAATTGATGCTAGACGACCATAGAAAACCTGAAAGCACTGGGCGTCCGTCTTGTCCTATTGTGGGACTTCTCAGTAGTAAGCAACCACGATCCCGCTTCACGTACCTATGACCTATCAGTCTCGCATGCGAGCGCTTAACCACTAAACCATTGAGCTGCCATGTCTAACTTCAACTAATTCACAAAATTGAACGACACATCCACCATTGTTTTCAGTGAGTTACTATTTCACAACAGACTCGATTAGACTCCACTGGTCACTGCTTCTCACTAGAACTCCAAGATATACCTCTTGAAGTCACAGTAGGACGAAACGGCCGTCTAGTGGTTCCATGTTTTTTCATGGTGGTCTAGCTTCAATTGACCCATGAACTATTGAACTAATGGTGTGTTGTTAATCTCATATTAATATTCTTAAAAAAGTAGTCGATCGTATGATTTGAATTAAATTGTTTATGAATATATTGAATGATTTTCTCAGTAAAATATTTAAAGCTTGATTTTATAGATATTCTTTATGTTGTGTGACAGGGAAATCTTTGAATGTAACATGAATTTAGCGTAGAGTTAAAGTTTCGAGAAAGAATAAGTGTTCACTAGTCTATGTGTACATGTGATGTGACAGACACAAATCGACCCCAAGTATTCATGACTTGAATTTACGAAGCATGAATCTCACAATCATTTGTGTTTAAATGGTTCATGGTGGCTAGTTACATTACAGACTGATCTTATTTAGACAAGCATTAAAAGCTAGAAAGTACTGGAAAGCTGTTTTGCCCTAGTGTAGGACACCTCATAAGTACACAGTTATGATTTCAGAAGAGACTGAAACTAGTGGTTTCAGATATCACAGAGATCGCTTAACCTTTAAACCACTGAATGTTATTTCAATGGTTTACATTTCCAACTTCAACCAATCCGCAATATTGCGTAGGTATCTGTTAACCATGGTTTTCATTAGTTATTTTGTAAACATTCACTTCTCTATGACATTCATACTGATAATATTGTCTAGAAAGACAATGAAAAACTTTTGGATTAAACCATCCAGCCCAAAGAATCCCATTTCACTAAAGTCATTCTTGAAATCTACAAATCTTTCCCAGTTCAAAAGTTTAAAAAATAAAGTGACCTGGTAACCAATAACAGCTGGCATTATAAATAAATTATATAGTTCTCCTCATAATCTCCTAAACTTGTTTGCGTTTTATCCTCTTACCATTTAACATCACACGTACATATACCCTAATTGACTCTAGTTTTTTTTTATTATTCATACAGCGAAATGAATTCAATGGTGTTGTACGTTTCTTTTTTCGTGGAGATGATGGAAAATATCAAAGCAAATGTATACGTATAACAAATACAGATACAGCAAGATATCTTGTAAATATTCTAGTTGAAAAATTTCATCCTGATTTACGTATGCTTACTGCTGGACGTTATGCTATCTATGAATATCATGCAAATAATGGAGGTCAGTTACAATTAATAGTAATAACAGTAATAATAATAATAATAATAATAATAATAATAATAATAATAATAATAATAATAATAATAATAATAAACCTTTTATAATCATGGTGACCTAGTTATTTGTAATGAGGTGTGGCAATTTAGAATGATACATATATGTGCCTGGTCCAACGTTGTAGGTGACTGACTGACTGAGTTATTTGTAATAGATATGCCCAATATTATTTTTAAATCAGTCACATTTATTACTCAAGCATGAAATTTATTTTCACAGATTGAAATCATGAGTCAGTTGAAGCTAGACCACCATTGAAAACCTGGAAGCACTGGACGGCCGTTTCGTCCTAGTATGGGACTCCTCAGCGGTGCGCATCCACGACCCCGCACCACTCGGGGTTCGAACCCAGGACCTACTGGCTTCGCGCGCGAGCACTTAACCATTAGACCACTGAGCCGGCATCTAACGGTGTTAATGTCGAACTTCAACCAATCCACGAAGTTGCGCTACCGTACACCATTGTCTTCAGTGAATTCCTATCTCACAACAGACGTGGTTGAAATTTATGTTCTTTATCTTGAAGAACGAAAGAAGAGACTGTTTTTAAAAAAACTTAGATAAACAGTACGATTACGATCCAAATATGAATCAGTTGAGGAATTACAACTGACTGAATAAAGAATTATGTATTAAGTGAAATAGTTTTATACTGTGATATTTAATTCAACTAACAAATCATTGAACATTGATTAGTGTTACATAATAATTTACATAACTGATCAAGTTACAGATTAAATCGTATTCACTGAATAAATCATTATTCCTTACAGTTATTAATAGGTATGTTATCCTATTAAATGACTTTCCACTGAGTTAGTTGAACAATAAGCAACGAAATTTTTCATGAGGTTTGTAATTAATCAATCGATTCGAAGCTGTCTTTCATCACATATATTTTAATAAGATCCTACAACATGCATAAAACAAATGTTGATCATCCGGATTAAATAATCACTATGAAGAATAAATAATTCATTCATATCTAAAGATAATAATTAAATTTTAATAGTTGAACCCATAGGTCGATTAAAGCTAGACCAGCACTGGAAAGCTGGAAGCACTGGACGGCCTAAACTTTAGACCACTGAACCGGTATCCAGTGGTGCTAATGTCTACTTCCAATCGATCCATGATCTTAAGCAACCGGTATGCGTGATCGTGGGTGTACATTGTTGAGGAGTCCCACACTGAGACGAAACGGTTGTTCAGTGCTTTCAGGTTTCCGATTGTGGTCTAGGTTAGATAGACTCATGAATGCAACTGTTAAAATTACTACAATCTCCACAAACCACCATTCTGATAATAATAACTATTAAATGACCATATAACAACATACTTGTTACAAAAAGGTTTACTACTGTATTCTAATTCTTTTGGAAGGTGTTGAAATTCAAATAGAAATCAGTTAATTATTTATTGAGGTTGATTTGGAATTTAATTTCAATCTATTTAGTGTTTGGATTTAATCGACTGGAAGGCTGTAAGTAGTACTGGATGTTTTAACAGTTGAAAAAAAACCCAAGTGAATACTAACCTCTTACTTTCAAAGATATTTTCAACTCATTTCAGTTAACTATTTGCAAACTAATGACTTTTATGTATGGGATTTATGCCTTTGAATTAGTAGTATTGTCAAAAACACTACCCTTAAATTAGTTTCCTCACAAATTATTTCTTGAAAAAGTTAGATTTTCAGATTGAATATTAAACGTTATCTAACTCTTAGCAGTAGTCAGTATTTTCCTGATCAAGTTAGTAATGTACATACTTCATTTAAGCCGTTCTGTATTTCATAACAGATATTTTTACTTGTTAGTAATGACATAGAACTTCAAAGAAATGTATGATCTATTTAGAGTATTGAACTCTTGTGTTATAATGATAGACTTCTAATAATCTAAGTTGTATATTCAGTATGAAATTAATCCAAATTAGTTGAAAAGTTTTAAATATCAAAGAATACAACACATTACAACATTTATGTTTATGCTTATAAGAGACGATTATCTAGGAAGTTAGTTGTATATTATTACACTTCACTTCTCTTGAAGGTTATTACTAACTTCAAATATCTCCTTTTATCAGAATAACGAATACATCTAACTGCTTACTTCCCTAGATATCGTACTGTTATAGAAAATGTCCATATTACAATAAAGATTCGTAGCGAATCTATTACTAAATACATTTTAAAAAAAATTTAGTCACCCTTGTCCTGAATATCGAGTTCTAGTTAACAACTATTCATGCATGCATGATAATAGTACTTTATATATTTGCCATACATATTTCTATCCTACTTCTATCTTTTCTTGTATCCTTTCATTCTTCATAATTTCTATAGAACGGCGTTTAGGAGCAGATGAAGCACCTTTACTAGTTCAATTGAATTGGACAGCAGAAAATCAAGAAGGACGGTTCATATTACGTGATGAATCTAAACCCCAAACAATCACTCGTCCTGTAAGTAAAATAATTTAAATGTATTTTCAGTTTATCACTGACAGACTACTGAAAAGTTATTTAAATAAATCGAAATGTTCAAAAATCACTATAACCTTTTTAAAACATCGTAGTATAACGACATTTTGGTAATAAAACAGTTCTTATTAATGATATTTAATGTTCATCAAGTTCAATTGCAAATTAAATGAATTCGATTCGAACCCAAAATGCCTACCCAACAGTTTTAATAATTAAGGATCTTTTACAGGTTGAAATCATGAGTCAGTTGAAGCTAGACCACCATTGAAAACCTGGAAGGACTGGACGGCCGTTTCGTCCTGGTATGGGACTCCTCCGTCCAGTGCTTCCAGGTTTTCAATGGTGGTCTAGCTTCAACTAACTCATTGTTGTGGATGCGAAGGATAGACCAATAATTATCATGTTAAGTCCAATGGTGTCCTTGGACTTTAAACGGACATTTCCTACTGGTCGATATCTATCCACTTGTTGAATATTGTACAAAATGTTGTTTTCTATTTTTATGGTACGATGTGGTATGTTTGGTTAGTATATAAATAGAGTATGTCTGAAATACATTGATTCATAACTCAGAGGCTGAGATTTGTGTTCTGGACTCAACTGGCTGGAATAGACAGGGAATCGGGACCAATCGTAACTCTAGGTCGTCCATTACGTTCGTACGTGTTTACGTGTCATTGAATCGATCGATAAATACGCTGCTCTCTAGTTTTTTTTCAGTTAAGGACACAACAATTAGCACTTGGTAAAAAGCAACCACAACTTAAAGTCATAACACTAATGATTTCAACCTGTGAAATTAAGAATCTGACACAAAACTAGAAGGTCGAAGGTTCAATACTCTGATGATGCCATTGCTAAAAAGTCCCATAAAAGAATCAATAAAAATATTCAATGCCTCTTTTATATGTTTACTGATATTGATTTTTTTCTTCTTCTCTAAATGTATAAATAAATAAATATATATATATTACAAGAGGAAATCTCAAATAATTTGGCATTTACTCCAGGTCAGTCTAAATTATCGATCTATCCAATATTTCATTTGTACTTCTTAATATAAATGAATATCATTAAACCAGAATATGGCAGGAAATTTCTTTTTTTTTGTTTGTAAAAATTGGTAGTATCAATAATATGTAAATATCACGGTGATTGCGTTTTATTGTTTTTCCTCTCTAGAATATGCTTTTTTTTTTGTTTGGTTTACGCCCCTGTTGTTATTGAGTGACTCATGTTGAATATACCAAAAAAAAAGTGTAGTATTATTATTATTATTAATGAAATGAATTACATGAGTGTTTATCTATTCTATTTATGTATTTATTTACTTTTCTATTAAAGAAATCAGTTACTATAGGGCTATATTAAGCATAAATTTATAAAATATGAAAGAAAAAAAATATATTGATTAATGTACCCTAGTTATAATATGGTTTGTATTTCTTGAATGTGTATTGGATAAATGATAGTTCATTATTGAATTGATTGTAAAATACAATAGAGAAATGCTATTTCAATTAGTGAACTATTAACTTGAATAATATTGAGACACATTATTTTCATGAGATTTAAATTGATTGTAATAATAAAACAATCAATCTAGAATGGATATACATCAATAGAGAATGTTTAATTACAGTCTTTAACAATATTGACCTTTCCGAATAAAATTAATCCTGATTGCACAATTTATTGGTAATCCCAATATATAAGCAGAGTGGATAATGTATTGGCGTTTGAAGCAATAAATGTTAAGTTTGAGTCTCAATATATACAATAATAATGGGATATACATAAGTCCATATGACGAGTTATAATTTAGACGAAACACGAACCATAAATTGTACTGTTACCCGCTATCTAACTATAATAAAGATCTCTTAATTATGAGAAGTAATTTGGCGATTAGTCTTGAAATTCAGTTAAAACGCATCCCTATGGGGTGTATTTACAACTGCGACTTTATTCCTACTTGACAGATAAAATTCAATAAAAGTATTACTGAAAACTAGACGATGATTTATTTTATTATCTTTTTTGCCTATACTATTAGGTCTGATCGTTTTCTGATTTAGTGCGGCAAGAAAATAAGGATTTTCCAAATTTCCAGTACTTTGACATATTCATTCATGGGATAAAATTTATTGAAGAATTGCTAGATAAAAACAGTTTAGGAAATAATGATTAGCTGTTTGATCCTAGTCTCCGATACTTAAGCAGTGCTCAACTATAACCTTATCGACAGTTAAACTACTTAAAGTCTTCATTTGTCACCACAGTTCGTAACACGTAGGCTACTAAATCGTAGAGACTCGATAATCATCTACATTTTCAACTTGACGTCTACTTAGAAAACTATTTCCCGATTGAATTAGCTGTACAACACTTTCAATTTAGGAAGTGATCAATCTTTACTCATTAATTTTCCTCACATCTGAATCACTTGAACTCCAGTAGTGACCGCTTTTCATCATAACCTATTGTTGTAAACGAGAACACCAGTAGGGACAATGAAATGTAATTTAATACATCGTTACAGAATACCTTGGTAAAATCTATGAACCATACAGTAAATACTTCATTTGTAAAATATCCATCAATTGTCTCAGACTTTGTTGTTCCTTCGCTTCTATAAGAGTCACTTGCTGTTCTCGTTCTCTTCCCTTAGATTTTCTCAACCTTCTACCGCCAGGTACTCCATTTTCGACTGGTTATACATACTACTTATATCTATCGACATCAGTAGCATACACCACAATATCAAAGGCATTGTAAGATGGCTATGTAATATCACGAATTAACTGCATTATGACGTGTACAGTACCAGATATCAACTCAGTCAGTCAGTCAGAAACAACGTAGAACTTCGTACGTACGTACATCAGTTCGAGTTGCCACATCACCTTAACACAGAGATGCAGTTGTCGATCCAAATCCCGTAGTGGTAGAGGTAGCAAGAGTGTAAGCAGTGTTCGGGAAGATTAGGGTTTGGAGATGTTATTTAAGAGTATAATCCAGTGAAATAAATTTGGGAAGAGAAAAAGAAGAGGCAAGGAGGAATCAGGAGATTAGAATTTGGGAGAACACAAAGAGTGGATGCACCTGCGCCATTGCAAACGATTTCGAGCCATGTCATTCAGGGTCTCTAACCATCGGTTGCTATCATCTCGCGGTCCCCAACCAGGTAGTCTACACCTATCAACATGACTCAGACCACTTGTCAGTGACTTCATGGACTTGTGCCATGTTTTGGTCTGGCCGCCCCTAGCTTTCTTCCAACCTACTCCTATACCACTGAACATCGCACGTCGAGGCAGTCGGTCGTTGGGCATACGTAACACGTGTCCCAGCCATCTCAACTGATGAAGTTTCACTACTTCATCAATTGATTTGCCATCCTTACCTAGTACCCGTTTCCTAACAACTGCATTACTTACTCGATGGTCCCATGATATACGAGCAATGTTTCGAAGACACCTATGATCAAATACTAGTAACCTACGAATATCCTCTACTCTTACCGGCCATGTTTCACTGCCATAAAGTAAGATATCAACTCAGTAATCAGAAAGGTATATGTTCATCATGAGACTTGAACATTCTAAATTGGACTAATAAATAAATAATAAATGTGCACTTCCAAGTAGTCTCATATTAAAACAGAATAATTTTCTAACAAATTCTAGTTTTTTTAATGGTTATTTAATTGAATTCATTCCATAATCTAAATTAAATAACAATCATAATGAACTTAATCTAACTCTTCAAATGTATATTGAGTTTATATTAAATTAAATTGAAAAGTCACATGAATCACATACTGGTATTATTATTATTATTCTTTATCAGTGTATAATATCTGTTGTGTGCAATATCTCTAATATAATTATAGACAAGTATTTGTATACATGTGTAGTTTTTCGAAATATATTTTATCTATATATATTCAACAATTCAATATTACTCAATATGAAAATAATGGTTGATTTGTAGTTACCATACCATAAATGGTATATTTGTTTATGTAGTCTAAAATTTATACCGATTTGATGTATCACACAAAATTAAGTTACCTTGGTTACTTGAAGAAAAAAAATAATACAAATCTTTATCGTCGTGGACACTAAATGAATCTTAAAAGTGAAACAAAGAATCTCACACTATTGTTTTTGTTATTTATAATTCGAATATTGAAAATATTAAATTTTGTTTTAAAATTCAATGTTAAATTAGTTGTTTTTTTTTTCTATTTGTGTTTTGTGCTTAGAATATTGTATCAATATGGATATATGTTTGTATGTGTGTAATTGAGTGCCAAAATTTTATACAATAATATATATATGGATAAATGAACTCTAACCTATTGGTTTAATTGGTAATATGGACCCTTTAAGGTATTAAGATTTTGAGTTCGATTGCCTGACAAAGTTATGATTGTCTATTGCTGAAGACAATTGAAGATAAACAAAAGAGAGTATGCAGTTCATCATCATTCACAATAGTTGTCTAATTGAAATTTTCTTATGTTAATAAGAACATTCAGTTTAGTACTCATGAACTATATAAACTTGATTAGCAGTATTGATATTCCCAATAAGATTGGTTTAAAATGTGACAGTGTTATTCATTAATTTACTGAGTTCAGAAAGTCACTTATCGATATTATTATTACTGGCTTTATTCAATATTATATTTTTGGTACACTATTGAATAATTCTCAGAACAAAGTATTTTAACAAGATCCTTTTTCTTATTTCTTGATCAATCCCAACAATAAATATTGAGTGATTGCCAGCTTAGATGCTAGAAGTTCAGGAAACAATATCTGAATAATGTTCACTCTTTTTAACGCATATTGCCAACCATCACGTTTCTGATTGTACTTTTTTGTAAACTTTTCATAAACGTGTCTGAATGAGTTATGCAATTAATAGACATAATGATGTGTTAAAACAAACAGAAAAACATATAATGTA